TTAGCCATGCTTTCTAAGGCCCACTTGACTTCACTCTCCAGGATGTCTGTCTGGCTCACGGTCAGCAACCACACTATCTGGGTTGTCTGGGACATCCAGATCTTTCTGGTATAATTCCTCTGTGTATTCTTGCCACCTATTCTTCATGTCTCATGCTTCTGTGAGGTCCCTACCATCTTTATCATACCCATCATTGCACCAAATGTTCCTTTAATATCTCCAATTTTCTTGAACAGATCTCTGGTTTTTCCCTTTCTATTATTTTCCTCTGTATCTTTGCACTGTTCATTTAAGAAGTCCCTCTTGTCTCTCCTTGCTATTCTTTCGAAGTCAGCATTCAATTTTCTCACTCTCCTTGCTATTCATTGGAAGTCAGCATTCAATTTTCTGAGACCTTCCCTATCTCCCTTGCATTTTGTTTCCCTTCTCTTCTCTGCTATTTGTAAGCCCTCGTTGGGCAGCCACTTTGCTTTCTTGCATTTCCTTTTCTTTGGGATGGTTTTTGTTGCTGCCCCCTGTACAATGTTGCGAGCCTCCATCCATAGTTTTTCATGCACTCTGTCCACTAAATCTAGTTCCTTAAATCTGTTCTTCACTTCCACTGTGTATTCATAAGGGATTTGGTTTAGATTATACCTGATTAGGCATGTGGTTTTTCCTACATTCTTCAGTTTAAGCTTGAGTTTTGCTATAAGAAGCTGATGATCAGAGCCACAACCAGCTCCTGGTCTTGTTTTTGCTGACTGTATAGAGCTTCTCCATCTTTGGCTGCAGAGACCGTAATAAATCTGATTTCATAGATGTGTCTATATGAATGTTGGTTCTGTTTTATCCAGTGGGGTTTACTAATGAATGTATTTCACACCAAGGCAGTTCATATCCCCATCTTTGGCTGCAGAGAACGTAATAAATCTGATTTCATAGATATGTCTATATAAATGTTGGTTCTGTTGTATTCAGTGGGGTTTACTAATGAATGTGTTTCACACCAAGGCAGTTCATATTAAGCTCTGTCCATCTGATTGCATTCTTGTATGATAATTAAACAATAGGAATGTAAACAAACCAGGGAGACATTCTACCTATCATTTGACATATTTCTGCAGTTCTTGGTAAGATGAAAACTACTGAGTCAACCTTAAAGTGCGGCCATCTGTACATCCTTGCCAAATCTCTTGCTTCTTTATAGATTGCTAAACCAAAAACTTATTTTTAAAACCTTATTCAAAGTATAACTGACCAGAATTGTCTTGCTGAGGTTATATCTGCAGAAGGCAATATGTATAACTTTCACCAGCTTTTTCTTGGGAATTAATGCATCCCGTTGTTGTTGTTTAGTCAAGTTGTGTCCGACTCTTTGTGACCCCATGGACCAGAGCACGCCAGGCCCTCCTGTCTTCCACTGCCTCCCAGTGACCAAGAATTCAGGCAGGCAATATTCCCTCTAAGTTATGCGGTTATGCACAGCTGAGTGACTGTTGCTACACATTGGCTTCTGGTTGCTGCCGGAGCCCCATGCACACACGACAAAGCTCCCACCCCCTACACCGGGCAGCACACTGGAGAATTAGAATGGTGCAAGCAGGGATTTGTTAATAGCCAGCAAAAAGCTCGTAAAAATTATACTGTTTGCCTTCTACAGGTGTTACTGTGCAACAGGATTTTGGCCACTGTTTCTTCCAACTTAAAGTGTTTCAAACTGGATGATGCAAGGATATTTGCTGGTATCCCATATTCCGACCTGAAAAGGAGGCTTTGCTGACATTTATCTTCAATGCTTTGGGCTTATATAATACTCAGATTTCTGTAAAATACCTTGCAGATCATGATATACACTCACTAGATTTTGGTTTTTTGTTTGTTTTGTAGACACGTGAAGGTTTACAGTACAACTTCCTACAAGGTAGTTCACAGCTTTAACTATGAAGCATCAATTCTCAGCCTTGCATTAGCAGTAAGTATTGGAATGAAGCCTCTACTAGGTATATAGATAATTGCACAGTTCTAAAGGTGTTCTGAATAGTTAGTGAAAAACATTGAGTTAGAGTGCTGCACCTTTTAAAAATACACTAGAAAATAATTTCCAGCAAGCTGTTTCATTTTGACAAGAGAAGGTTGGCAGTACGTAGTAAAATCAATTCTAGCCTTGTCCTGGTACTGGGATTTTTTTCTCTTCAGTGTTGATTCATGCGGCCACTGCTCCCATTAATGCACTTTTTAGTGCACTTTTCTCAGTGCCTAGCCTTGGGAATTTCATCTTTGCGTTAAACTCCCTGGAGGATCTCTAAGTTTGAGAGACTAAGCAGGTGTTGAGGGAATGAGAAGATTCAATTAAACTACAGTGTTTCTGTCATTTCTGACTCTCCCTGTCCCTGGGCTCTCCTACCCCAGGACAAGAGAGGGTAGAGTGGTTGGGAAGCTACAAGAAGGGTGCTTGACCAGGGAACTTTGACACCATCCTATGCATGCTTGACTGGATATGTCCCCCTGAACCTCCAGATAAGCCCACCTAAAATAGCACTGTTGGATTAGAAAAACTAGTGTAACCTCCCTAAGCCAGGCACATTGCTCAGACTTTAATTTCATTTCATTCTTTCAGTTTAAGATTGTTCAGTATGGAATGGTGTCTCTTCATCATTGCTCTTTGTTCACAAGTAGATGCTAGAAGCCATGTGCTATGTGACAAATCTTTCCAGAAAATGAAAATGCTTTATCAGAAAGTTACTGAACTAGAGCTGATCATTGTGTTTCTTATTGTGCTCAGCCTGAGGATGAAACCCTAGTTGTAGGCATGACAAATGGAATCCTGAATGTTAAACATCGGAAGCATGAAGGAGAAAAAGAGCTTTTTCGTAGGAGAAGAAGGCCTGCATATAGAACCTTTGTGAGAGGACGAAACTACATGCCGAAACAGGTATGGAGAAAAAGCTGCACCGAGCCTGGCCTCTTTATTAACTAATCATAACGGGAACCATCATTCGTTAAATAGAAAAAATGCTGTAAGGAATACAATGTTATGCACAGCTAAACTCAATACATTTGTACTAATAGGAGGTATAAGATGTAATTCATTATGAAAGAAATTAAAATGTTGAAATGAAATGAAGCTTGTAATACAGAATTAATAGTAGCTATATGGATTTTACATCATATAGAGCAGTGCTGGAGGATATCTGAGTCATTATTTTAGTATGCCATTACAACATCACTGATAACAAAGCACAGAGAGAGCAAGAGAGAGAGAGATTATTAACCTTGGGTGACACTGTCTTTGTGAGTCCCATAGGTCTAATGTTCATTTTATTGTTGTCTTGCAAAGGCAGTGAGGAAGACAAGGTCAAAATGCATTTTCCATTTTTTGGAAATTTTATAAATTTGTTGATAAGTAAAATTTGTACAGTATATTTCTATTGCCACGTACATTTCTGATCTGACTTAGTGATATCAAAGTCCCTACACTTCCACTGTGTTTTGTGGTGGTTGTTATTGAAGGTTTTTAATTTGGTTAATTGATTTGAGAGGTATTCAAATAAATTTTTGTTCTGTAGTTTCTTTTACTTTTTTTTCAGTTTATGCAGATGCCGATTTCAGTGTAGTCTGTTTATAAAACCAATGTAACTTCTGTTGTCTAATTTCTATGATGTTAGATTATATGTTATAGCAGATGTTAGTATAAATTAAATTTGTGTAGCTGTGTGATAATAGTTTGGTGTTTGTACTTACAGGATTTTACACATTATGTATTTGCTGGCAAATGGCATGTTGGCAAATGGCACAGGAGGTCATGCCTTGTAATTAGTAATACAGTAAATATATATGGAAAGCTTAATTGGATAGTTATATTTAACTATAAATTTGAGCAGCTTAGCTATGATGTCTGGAGATGTTGGGAGTTATAATCCAACACATCTGAAAGGCACCTGGTTGGGAAAAGCCAAGTTAGAATGATCGGTTTTAAAGGTGATCAGTTTTAAAGAGTGGTGCTTTGACTACCGGGCTTGAACAGTTAAATGCTAAAATAGTTGAAAACTCCTCCCCTTTTCTTTTTTACAGTTCTGACTATGTCTTAAGATTGTAAGCCACCTTAAACATGGCTTACTAGTGAGTTGTGCTTAAAAGGTATAAATTTAATAAGTGATGATGATTATGGTAGCCAGAATGGAAAGCTCTGGTTTAGAAGAAGCATTCTCTTCCTTTCTCCATGGGATCTTTCCTAAGGTGGTGCCTGCAGCTGTGCAGGGGTGCATCATCTTTAAACACCTCTACAGCTGTTGCTTTCATTGAATGGCAGTTTATAATCAGTTGACATTAGTATTATGAGTTGATTTATAGTTCTGGTTTAAATACTCAAAAATAAGTTCAGTAATCCTAGGCTTCTTTGCCTCATTGAAACACAGGGCATTAGTCTTAATCCCATATGAAAATAGCTAAAATTGTCATTTGTGAGTTCCCTAACTAGTTGACAGTCCTGAAAATCAGTGCTACATTCCATCCTCACCCCCCAGTCTGCTTTAACAGTGCAAGTTGGTGGGGTTGAAGAAAGAACTCTGGCAAAAATAAATATGTTCTATGGCATGTTAGACAACGTCAAGCAAGATAAAAGTGATATTACCAAGATTTTGCTTGGTGTTATTTTTTTAGTAGTGTCTTCTATCATGGATTGTATCTCTGATTTTTTAAAGGAAGATTTCTTTGTCAGCAAGCCTGTAAAAAATTATTTGAAGAAATATGACAAGCTTCTGAGGAGTTTTGAGGTTTCCAAGGCTCTTGATGCAGTACTTCAGGTAAGGTGGTATTACTGAAGGTTCTCATTTCAGTTGGATTATTCTGCTAAATCAAGGGTGGGCAACTTTAAATACTTTCTAGTTAAACAAAATACCCACCCCATATTGTTTTTCAAACAAGGGATTTTTTTTGGCTTAAATCACCCTTGTGGGAAAGTTGTTGGGGAAATCCTTTGTTTGCATCCTGTGAATTCTATACAATTTTGTGTTATATAGAATTAGACCATTGGCCTGTCTAATTAAGTATATTCCACAGTGATTAATGATATCTCTGCAGCTAGCATCCTTTTCTCATTAGGCATAGGAGCAGTTTGCAGAAAGAGCACCTTATTTTAATGAAAGGAGAGAAGCCAAAGCTATGTGTTTCACTTTATGTCCTTTGTATTAAGATTTTAAAAACGGGACATACAGAGACTCAGAAACTGAAGAACATAAAATGCTACTTCAGGAAGGGATCTTTAAAATGGACTGCTAAATAGACAGACAGGCAGACAGAAACCTTTATTGGCATGCTGTACAAAATTAAAACACACTAAAATGCAAATAAAACATTCAACAGCTAACATGGGTCAGGGAACAGCCAAATGCATATTTAGGGCTCGGCATTCTGCGACAGCATGCTGCGTTGCCTCTGCATGAGGGAGTAGATATATCTGGCTGTTACCAGGGTAACTTCCTTAATAGTGCCACCTAGGAGGTGTCGAAGTTTTCTCAGGTCGTTCCATCCAGAAGGGGAGGAAAGGAAAGTGCTCAGATAAGACAGGCAGATATCCTTATACAAGGTACAGTACAGTAAAACAACATATGCTGCAAGGATTCCACCACTCCCTGACCACAAGGGCAGACTCTCAGTTCTGTGAGTAACCCATATATCTGCCCTGTGCTAAGTTCAAAGGTACAATATCGCACCTAGCAAGGGTGAATGCCCATCGGTCTTGTGGATGCTGTAAGAGATAGAGGTAATTTGGTCTGCCATGGTAGAGGGGCAAATGAAAATACAGTGAGGAACAGACCCTTTGTGCAGCGCTATGCAGGGTTTGCCCCTCAATATCCAGAACTCTATTTTTGATTGTATGGAATACCTCGGATGGAGGTATTGAACCCAGCAGATTCGGTGATAACCCCAGGGTCTTGATTTTCTTGAGAAATAGGAAAAAGGGCCAGACCTTTTGGAAATACGCTGTCAGAGAGCAGTGCTTGGAATAGGATGTCCTGGGCTGAGAAGAAACAGATTCTGAACCAGTATTTAAAGAATCTGAGCCAAGCCAGGGTCTCAATCCTGTGTTGGCTGCCTTCAAGGCATAGGGTTGCATAGGAGATACAGTGGGGCAGGCCAAAGATTTTATACAGGAATGTTGATTGGACCCTTTCCACGGACCTGTGGAATGTAGACATCCAGATGGGGATACCATTAAGAAGCTGTACTGCTGATTTGGCATTAAACATCTGCAGCGCAGCGGGGATGTATGAGTGACTGCTAAATTGGAGGTGGCTCAAGATCTCAGAACTAACTTTGTGGGCTGTAAGACATTTGAATTGTTGAGATACATGTGATCATCCTGCTCTAAAACTGTCCTGTTCAATGTTTCATGTTTGTAGGCACCTGTGAGAAAGAACCCACCTGAAGTTGCTGTTGCTGTCATGCAAGAATTAAACCGCAGAGGAACACTGAAAAATGCTCTTGCAGGGCGAGATGAAAAACAGCTCAGTGTCCTTCTTTCTTTCTTGATAAGGTACATTCTCGGGTTGTGATTTCTGAGCCACAAAATACTACAGATGGGGTGAAATTATGCAACATGTGCTGCTTTCCAAATCAGTGTTTTTCAGGTCAGGATGCAGGAAGGTAGTTTTTTGTCTAAAACATGCAAATAAGTTTTTCCTGATGCAGCCAGTAGTTACTTGCTAAGTTCTACAGATATCTCTCTTCCACACATTCATTTTATGATGGAGAACAGAGCCTATGAATTGTTCCTCTAGTTCCTCCTATAAGTTGTGAAAGAGAAAATTTCTGGATGAGAGTATAACGGTTAATATCTAGCTTTTAATTTAATATGCAGGCATGTGACTGATGCAAGATTTGCTCCTGTGCTGATAAATGTTGCAGAAATCATTATAGGTAAGTACAAAATCCAATAATATTAACACAATTGATTTTTACAAAGATAAAAGGCCCTCCCAAACCCACAAAAGCATGGTGTATAGATGGGGCTGGAGGAACAACTGTGGCCCTCCAGAAGTTATTGATTTGAAACTCCCATCAACCCTAGTTATCATAGACAGTGGTGGCACACAGCAATTGCATAACATCTGGAAGGTCACAGTTGCCCACCGTTGGTCTGAAGGCAAGTGATGTCACAGCAGTTTTGCTGAAGCTAACTAGGTCCATGGGAGACTGTTTGGGTATATTGCATATATGTAACCCTGACTTCCTATAGGGAAATTAATGCATTTTGTCAAATGCACTGTTTCTTAAGGGTGCTTAGTGATTACAGTACCTTAGTTCTATATTTCTGTCCATTGTGTGTGAAAGTGTGTGTGGCCATGTGTGTTAGTGTTGTTTGCATGTGTGTATGCATTAAATTATTTAAAAAGTAAAAATCTTTGCCAAAAACATTCAGTTCAGTGACCAAAACAAATTATGCAAACTGTGCATAGCACATTATTTTTTAAGTTTTTGTTTTATTGTCATGACCGAAAAAATGTGCAACATGCTGGAAAAGCAAATGCACAGGAGGATTCTCTAAAAGGGTGTGGGGTGAAAGTGCAGAATTAATTCCACAATGAGGAGTTTGTGAAGTTTTTTGACATTTTAGAACAGCACTGTGTGCTAGATCCTGGCTAGCAGCTGTGTATCTGATTTCTTTTTAAAAGATCCTTGAGCCCTTTGCAATGGGTTTGAAAGGATTGTATTGGGAGTAATAATAATTGTGCTCCATCAAGCCAGTTCCATTTGATGGAGACCGTTTTTAGGTAGAGAGAAGTGGTCATCATTCCTTCCTTCTGGGGGCATCCTGGGAATGTGCAGCTTGCCCATGACTATACAGACTAGCTCTTCTTGCAGGAGGCACAGCGGGGAATCAAACTCCCAACCTCTGGCTCTGCAGCCGGATACCTAAACCACAGATCTATCCAACCAACAGTATTGAGAAGGGGTGACAAAAGCTGACCTGTTTGTTGCCAGCTGCCTGATGGCAGGAGTACCTGGGGGGAAACTCACTGTTAGTTACTCAGTAATTCCAGCTAGAGAAGAGGGACTTTTATAGAGTGCACACAGCGTTGCCTGGAAGAGGATACAAATCCTTGAATCATAAAGAAAGGCAGGGTCATTCATGCCAGGAAGAATGTTTTGCTTTTCTCAGAAAGACTGGCTGTAGGTTGGGTTTTTTCACTTTCTTTGGAAACATTCTTGGAAACTTTCACAGCCGAGAAGGAATGTACAAATATGTTGGTCTAAATAAAGTGTGTGTTGATAACATGCGTGTTTAAAAAAGGCAAGATGAATAAATCTGGTTGTAAAAATTACATCTAAGTAATTGTGTTTCAACAAACTGTGGACTCATCTACTACCATCTTTTAAGACTAACTGAAATGATTTATTGAAAGTGCCTGAATTTTGCTGGGCATTGTGATGATGCCGTTTATCTTGTGCTGCCAAGTGTTGCACATACATTGTCTGCACAAGGAGATGCCTAGATGTTTCCACCTCTCTTTTGGATTACTTATATTTTCAGCATTTTATCCGAACTTTCAACTTTGTTTACTCTTCAACATTATTAATAGAGATAAGCCAGTTTCACTGTACTTGACTTGTTTCAAACTAACTGTAGTTAGGATCATCTGTGATTTATCAGGGTTCAAATGCAGTGTCAAAGTGGGATTCTTCCAAAATGGAAATGAAAGCTTCCATACTTTTTAGTGTTGTGGAATACTAAATGCTAATACTATAAGGTGGCTTAGTGTTGTATCAGAAACAGCCGTCTAGCCATACAACAGTCTTGCAAGTTGTTTACTTATTGTTTCTAAACTTAACAGAGCATAGCTTTGTGGGATCATAACGACAGGTAATTGAACAAAGACTCCCCGATGTATAGTTCGTCTCCTATATTCAATGTTGTACCATAGGGTATTCCATCCAGGACTAGTAGCTGACTTATAAAGTGCCATGTTGTTTCAATGATATTGTTGAAATCAGTCCTTAAAGGTAGAGTCTTCAGCTCCAGGTCCTTTGGCTTGTGGAGGTTCATGTGGTGGAGAGGAGCTCTGTTACAGATGGCAGTGGGTCTGTCCTGGAGGTTGCAAGTGGGTCCATGGAAAGACCCATGGGCATGATTTTACCTATGGCAGTGACTGGGATAGGTCTTCAAAGAGGGCATTCAAGATCTAGTCTCAGGGTGATTTCATATCCATGGCCCTCTGTTCATGGCATCAGGCCATAGATTGCTCTGCAAGAGGTACAGGTGGCGCCTTCTCAAATGTTTAGGACAAACTCTCTTGGGCAGAATCATTTCGCTAATATGCGTCTTTTCTCTTGGCAGATATTTATATGCCAGTCATTGGAAAATCTTCAATTATCGACAAACAATTTCTGAAACTTCAGAATCTTATAGAAAAAGAGATTGATTATCAGGAGGAATTACTAGAAGTCTTGGGTATGATGGATGCACTCTTTGCTACTATGGCAAGAAAAAAGCCCTCTGTTTCGGATGAGAACCAGACTGGTGGTTTATAAACAGCACCAGAAAGTCTATCAGCGAATTCATTACTTTTGACTGTCGTTTTCACCGGATGTGATTCCATATCTTTTTCAGAAGTGCTGATCTGAAGCAAGGGTAACAAACCCTGACAAAGCCTTTTTGAAGGGTCCAGATCACTGATGACTGGAGAACATTGAGAAGCATTCTACTGCACCGCAGTTTTTAAAAACCAAAAGTTGTTCAACTGTTAACATTTTATGCCCTCTTGTATAATATTGGACCTTTATTTATACAAATTCTTGTGTTTAGAATTTCATATAGATAATTCACATTCTCCCAGGTTTCTGAAGAGTCATTTTTAAAAATCCCCTGCTACTCAGTGGAAATAAACATGGTATGATTTCAACAAATCTATGTCATATTTCTTCAATTTTAAAACTCCCACACAGAATAATTTATGGTAAGGTGTGTTTTCTTATGAGCTCTTTTCCCCCCTACTCTGAACATTGTGGTAAAATTCTTGCTAAACAAACAAGGTCTGTCTTCCATTTTTATTAGTATCTAAAGGTAAGGTGCATTTGCTGATAATGTTTCTCTTTCAAAAATCACATTCAGTCTTAAGAATAAGTGTTTGAACATTAATACAGACTTTGGCTACATACTTTCTTATCCTGACAGATTAATATAAAGACTTAAGAGTTGACTAAAGACCTAATGGATGCCCCCTGTTCCCCAGGGCTGCCGCTTCATCATACAATATGAATAGGAGCAGTATGTAAAAGACGAACACTATGGTTATTCAGGAAGCTGAAAAATCTAATGCAAGTGACATTAGTTTTATATTATGGTGTCAGGATTGCCTGATAGTATTGAACTGCGGAATTACGTTAGGGTGAACTGTATTGGTTTGAGCAAGGTCTTCATCAGTGCATTGTGGAACCATAAAGATCTTTAGTATATAAAAGGGATGTTACCTTTAGCACTTGTCAGTGTCTCTGCAGGATGCAAAAATGGAAACATTGCCTATGCAAAATGAGAACCTGTGTAGCATGCTAGTGAGTTATCTGTTTTTGCTAGGTTTTAGATGTATTTTTATTCAAACTCTTGCTTGCATTGGATACAATTTCTCAGCCAGCGGAAGGATCACCACCAATGGATCAAATTCAACCACCCTCCTCAGTGCCTTGTGCATCCCTCAGATCCTTTGTCATCTTGGGGAGACTCTCTGGAATAGCTGGAGGGCAGGTGGGGAGCTGCACGGAAGATAAACTTGCATGAGCAGGCATTTATTGACTTGTATAAGGTTGGATTTAATGCCTTATATTACACTGCAGATTGAAACATTTTCTTCCGTTTATCAAGTTATAAGTTTCTATCTCCTGTGTTTTTGCTTATGTGCTTAGTAGCTTCCACTCTTGCCCCAGGAGGTGTTTTGTTTAGAACAGGGGGTGGGCAAAGTGTGGCGCCCCAGTTGTTGTTGGTGTGCAATTCCCAGCACAGTTGCTTGGGATGATGGGAGTTGTTGTCACACAACAACTGAAGAGTTGTATTTTGCCCATCCTTGGTTTGGAAAGAGTTAGTGATCTGTCTTACAGGGAGCAGGAAAAAAAGAGAACTTGAGGATGCTCTCCAGTGACTTGGCTGAACACGAACCTTAACTTTTCTTAAGACAGTATGTGTAAAGCAGAGTGCCTTGTGCATCCCTCAGATCCTTTGTAATCTTGGGGAGAAAGAAAAGATCAGTCTACATCCCAATCCCAAAGAAGGGCAGTGCCAAAGAATGCTCCAAATACCATACAATTGCACTCATTTCACACGCTAGCAAGGTTATGCTCAAAATCCTACAAGGCAGGCTTCAGAAGGATGCTTTATCAAGTTATAAGTTTCTATCTCCTGTGTTTTTGCTTATGTGCTTAGTAGCTTCCACTCTTGCCCCAGGAGGTGTTTTGTTTAGAACAGGGGGTGGGCAAAGTGTGGCGCCCCAGTTGTTGTTGGTGTGCAATTCCCAGCACAGTTGCTTGGGATGATGGGAGTTGTTGTCACACAACAACTGAAGAGTTGTATTTTGCCCATCCTTGGTTTGGAAAGAGTTAGTGATCTGTCTTACAGGGAGCAGGAAAAAAAGAGAACTTGAGGATGCTCTCCAGTGACTTGGCTGAACACGAACCTTAACTTTTCTTAAGACAGTATGTGTAAAGCAGAAATCAAAGTGTGCTGCTTATGTACCACCCCACATCGCTTAAAGCACTGTCTGGGAGGTTTATAATTTAGTTTTGCAGGCTAAACATTGCCCCCACTCTGAAGACAGCTGGAATTCAGTTTACCAACCTCGGAAGGATGGATGGAAGGCTGAGTCAGCTTTGAACCGGCTGCCTCAGCCCATCGCGATTGAACTCTGGGTGTGAGCACAGTTTTGACTGCAATGTTGCAGTTTGATCACTGTGCCACAAGACAGAAGAGAAGGGTTCTTCTTTGTGGTTTCTGTGAATGCACACTAATGGGTTAATCTGCGCCTGTGCAGAGGTTTCCGTCATCTTCTAGAGCTTAACACTCATTTGCCAGGACCGCCCCCCCTAGTACACATGGTCCACCCGTCCTGGCTAGTGCCTCAGTTTCTCTTTGCCGCCTCTGAGGTTTCTTCTCTTAGATGAGCTGCGTTCGCCTGCTGCTTTCAAAAAGTAATTTTTCTCGTTAGAGATCTTTGGATAGTGAGATTCTTTGTTTTTTCCTTCCTTCTGCCACCCCCCACGAATCCCCTTCTTAATTTTCAATTTTTTATGGCCTCCTTTGGTTCTAGTGGACTCTTTCAGCAGACTCAGTTCGCAGACACACGAGTCGTCCCTTGACGACTCCATCATAATCTAACCATTCTATGGGGACAACCAGACATGGACATTTTTGCATCAACAGAAAACACAAAATGTCCCCTCTATTGCTCCAGAGCAGGGATAGGCCCCGGCTCCATCAGAGATGCTCTGATGACACCATGGACATCAGATCTAGTTTACCTCTTCCCTCCAATCCCTCTACTCCTAAGGACTATCGTAAAACTGCACCAGGAGCGATCCAATGCAATCCTCATTGCCCCATGGTGGCCGAGACAGCCATGATTCACCATGCTCTGCTCCATTTCCATAGACTTCATCCGTCTTCCCCCAGTACCTCACCACCTCACCCAGAATTGGAGTCAAACCTTCCACCCAGATCTTCTTGCACTCCACTTAACTGTGTGGAGAATTCACCCTTGATAGCTGCCATCCTAGCTCTGGCTAGGAAACCTGCTACTATGCAGCTGTACTCATATAAATGGGCTGCTATTCTTGAATTTGTAGCTCAGTGTCATCTCCCTGCTGCACCTACAACTCTTCACACCGTGCTGCAATTCTTTACCTCTTCAGCAAGCATTTGTCCTTGTCTATTATCAAGGTCTATCTGCTACCGTAGCTGATCAGCCGCCTGATTCTGAAGCCTCTGCACTCTTTCATCACCCTACGATAAAACAGTTTCTTAAGGAGGTCTCCAATCTATGACCCACCAGACCACACGCCCCTCCGCAGTGGTCACTACATACTGTTCTATGAAGCCTAATGACACCACCTTTCGAATCTCTTGCCACAACGTCCGATCGCCGTCTTGCCTACAAGACCTTCTTCCTTGTGGCCATTACTTCTGCTCATAGAGCTTCAGAACTTGCTGCACTCAGAGTCGACCCACCTTTTCTTCAGTTTTACCCGGACACAGTCACTCTTTATCCCAATGTTTCCTTTCTTCCAAAGATTGTTTCTGAGTTTCACCTTAAGCAACCCATCATTTTACCTACCTTTTTTCCATCACCTCTGACTTGGAGCATTCTCTCCACCTCTTAGACATTAGGCGAGTGTTGGCCTTCTATGTTTCAAGGACTGCCTCTTTCTGCAAATCCAAGAGACATTGTTTCTCCGCACTTACCACACAGAGGATGCTTTATCTCCTCCCAAACCATCTCTAAGTGGCTTATGTCAACTATTCGCTTGACATATCAGCTGACTAAAAAGCCTCTTCCAGTTGGAGTTAAAGTTCATTCTACGAGGGCAGTGGCTACTTCTGCAGCATTTCTCAGAGGTGTTTCTGTTCCTGATATCTGTAGGACTGCTACGTGGTCCACCTTTGCCTCTCATTACCACTCGGACCTCTGGGATAAGTTGGATGCTGCATTTAGACGAGCGGTCCTATCGTCGGTTCTTCCGTGACGTCCCTCCTCCAGCCAGGTAAGCTTGTTAATCCTCCATTAGTGTGCATTCACAGAGACCACGAGGAAGAAAGAGAGATTACTTACCTGAGACTCTGGTTCTTTGAGTGGTCATCTGTAAATTCACACTTCCTGCCCGTCCTCCCCTCTGTCCGTCGCATCTGTTTCATTTTACTCAGCTGCTGGCAGTTTGGAGAATTGAGGCACTAGCCAGGATAAGTGGATCACTCGTACTAGGGGGGTGGTCCTGGCAAATGAGTGTTAAGCTCTAGTAGATTCCAGAAATCCCCGTGCAGGTACAGATTAACCCATTAGTGTGAATTCACAGATGACCACTCAAAGAACAAGAGTTACAAGTAAGAAACCTCTCTTTTTATGTTATCTGTGATACAGAAAAGGCTAGAGGCTGCAAAAGTCTCAAGCTCCTGTGACAGCACAAGTGCTCTTTCTTCCTTGATTTGATGGCATATTATTCTGGGAGAAGAAAGCAGCCATGTGTGCAGATGGGGCCAATGATGCAGTTTCTTCTGTTCATTTGAATTTGGCCTCCCAGTCCAGCTATGCTTAGTTTGGGAGAGAACTAGGTAATCAGCCCAGGCTTTGTTGGTTTCTTCTGACACACAGTCCCAGAGTAGTGATGTGCTGTTTTAACAAAGAGGCCAGGATCACATGCTGTTTCAAATGCATGTGAATTTGTCATTACTCTTGTAATGAGAGTGGCCTTTTAGGTCAGATGGGCGGGGTATAAATCAAATAAATAAATAAATAAATAAATAAATAAATAAATAAATAAATAAATACATACATACATACATACATACATACATA